AGAAACCACCCCTCGGAGAGCATTGAAATGCCCCGAAAACACCGGGTCAGACATCGGCACAAATGGTCCAGCTGTTATGGCTCTGGCCATCTTAGCTCAGCGGTAGAGCAAGGGGATCGTAGACTCCAAGGTCGCGAATTCAATTCTCGCAGGTGGCTGAACTTTTGGCCTTTTGGCTCAAGCCGAGTCAAGCAAGTCAAGCCATCCCCTCGGACCTCTCAAGCAAGTCAAGCCCACGGTTTTGAGGCCTCAAGTCAAGCCAAGTCCAGGCTCCAGACTTGCTTGACTTGCTTGTGGCCACCTCTGGCCCCCGAGCTTCTCTCGAGTCGCACGCCATAGAGTATCGAGTGCGCTGGCACGCTTATCATGTACCTTGTCCAAGGACAATGCAACAGTCGACGAGAACAAAAGGGCGAAGCAGACTGCCAAAAGTTGGAGAAACCATAAGCGAGCCATGATGGACGGCGGTGAAGGGAAAGATGGATGGTGTGAATTGGTGCTATCCCAGAGATTCTATTAACATAATTATATAGCAGAGGCTTTGGAGCTTGGGCAATACTCCGGGCCATACTGGCGCTTCACGAAACCACGGCCAGCACGGAACTCAGATCAATCGTTGTGGTAGGTCAAGGCAGAGATGGCTCCGCCCCTGACGCGGGTTTAGGCGACTCGCGAAACAACTCGAAGCTGGCTCAATGACCCTTATACAAGATTTTCGGGTGCCGCGCAGTTCAGCAAGAGCGCTTTGTTCGCAACGCATCGAACCGCTGGCCTGTAGCAAGCGCGCCCACAGGGACTTCGACCCGACACGTCTTCGAAAGATACTTGTGATACGATCACGAGCGTTCGACTTGTCCGATGTCCGGGCGACTGATCGCGGACGTACCTGAGCTGAGACCTTGGTCGCTTGGTAGATTTTCAGCGAACGACTCGCAGCCCCTAGGTCGGCTAGACCATAATTGTCACAAGCTCAGCGCGATTGGGGCTTACGCGCCTTTGTCTGAAACGACTGAGCAAAGCTAATCACAAACGCATGTCTGAAGACTGGCTCAGCTACTTATCGGCGCGACAACAGGCTCGGCCAAGGGTTATGCGAGTAGCTGAACAGGACATGGACAGGACTTGGATACCGCAGCTGTTGTGGTGTGGGCATGGTATCAGTTGTCAAAGAAGGAATTTAGCAATAGCAAGGGATTGTCTTTGCTCGCATGGTAATACCGATTTATTGATTCATCTCAACGTTGCGGCGTGCGACGTTCCTGAGTCGTGCCTGAGTCATGTAGTCGTCCGATTCCTGCCTGAGGCATCAATCTTCTGAAGCGCGTGTAATTTTCCAGAGATCATGCATGTTCAACGTAGACATACAGCGTTCAATACAATTGATGCCCTTTCACCTCACCCGCAGAAATTGCACTGCGGCGAAAGCCACTTTGAAACAGCAGCCGGCGATAGTTCAGGCTGGGTCATCCTGATCAGACTCCAGGGACCTTCACATTGCTGGGCCGCGCGGTTCTGGCCGTTTCGGAATGCCGCCGCCGACGTCCTTGACTACGGCGAGACGGCCCAGCCACCATCTGTGCAGGGGATTCGATGCTTCTCCGACATACATACAGATATCAAGCTTCCGTCTTTCCATGTGATCTTTCGTACAACCACCCACAGCCCATCTGACCCTCCATTGATCCAACAGAGCAGGAATCTCGACATCCACTGCGCCTCTGGGCAAGTCCCGCGAGCATGGCAGGAGGCGTTCGCCTCCTTAAACTGCCCGCCGAATTGGTAGAGCGTATTGCTGAATACGTGGACGATGCTGATTTGATCGCTCTGCGCTCAACGTGCAGGATAGCGGACAGCCAAGCTATACGCGTGGTACGTCACCCCCTGTCCAACCTTGCGCTGCTCCGGGCGTGCGACCCATATTGGGTTCGACAGCCTCAAGCCGCTGGAGGACGGCGATGATATCGCAGATTTTGACACTCACATGGACATCAAGTTTGCGGACCGATTCTTTTCAACGCGCACGACGAGCTTGATGGGATCGAGTCTTGAGAATCTCGAGCAGATCTCTCGTCATCCGATATTCCGAGAAGCCGTGAAAATACTGGTCATCCAGGACGATTCCCATAAATTAGATCCAATCTACTGCGACCGGCTGATGCATTCCAACGAGATCTGGCCTTACGACAAAGATTCATATGTAATCTCCAGCCATCTCAATATCCAGGCTCTACACCATATGTTGGCTGAAAGGCGTCTGCGCCCGAAGGTCATCAGGATTCGCAATTACAGGATGGATACTGGATGTGTGACCTATTGCTCGAGTGCGATTTGGCAACTGCACTATCCCGGATACGAGTATAGTGACGAATCGGCCGCTATCCGGGCACAGGCGGTATCCCGACTTGCCAAAGACATCGTCCAAAATGCGAATCTCACCATTCTTTCAATCCGCTTGCAGTCCATCGATTTCCTAGGATGTGCTCACGTAACTCAACGCCTTCGTGAGTTACGGGATTCCGACACGCCCATCAACATTGGTAGCCCAACTTGCCACGACATAACCCTGACGCTCTCGCCGAGTGCTAATGCACAAGGTGCAGACTTTTCATTGTTGCGCTCGGCAGAAGTCGAGTTCGAACAATATTGGTGGGAAAACGTCATTCAAGCGCCTCTTCTCGAGGATCTCAAGTTAGAAATGGTCAATTTTCCACCTCATGTGTTGGGTCCCTCTGCCGCACCCTTTGCGACTCTAACACGGCTTGAGCTGAGTTATTCGGACTTGACCCCGGCGCAATTGATCCACATGTTGGCACACTCGAAACAAAGCTTGACCGATCTCACATTCCAAGGCCTCACCCTGAAGCAACCAGGCCAATCGTGGCGGTCGATACTGCTCGATCTCGGGAGGAATTGTACTGCCTTGGCGCGATTTTTCCTTCGGAACCTGCGCATAGACCAAGGAGGCGCAACGCGACCCAATGTCGATTTCTGGGGCTTCAATGCAGACATGGTCCCGGTCGAAGGTAGAGCGGGCTTGGACTTTAAGGTTATCGACTGGATCGAGGATCGCCCTCCGCAAATACGAGTCGTACAGTACGAAGGGCCTCGTGCGGACTTGGTTCTGGAGCGTCTTGCCGAGTGCGCGCACTAAATATCTTCTTCCTCTCTCCTTCTCCTGCTTATTCTCCCTCTGATCCTCGTCTCCCAATTTCTCTTCTCCCCTTCGGCATGTTTCTCTATCGCCATTCTCGGCATCATCGCAACAAGCTGGACGAGTATGCGATCAAGAGGGCGCATAGAGCCGTGAGCCGCAAGAACCTAGCTACTCGCCGCCGAGGATGGTCTTCATGAAATTACGAGCGATTGCAGGGACGAGGTGCGATGTGCGGCATGCGATGGAACCGGCTTTCGCGACTGGAGAATTGGTAAGGTAAGACACAAAGCGCAGGACTCGACGGAGAATTGGCGCGGCTTTTGCAACATGACAACATAGCCGGGGTCCATAACAATTACATCGGCATCATCGCACTTGCCAAGCTCCGAACCCGAAGCGACGTGCTCTTTTGCAAGTCTCATCCGAGCGATCCATGAGAGGTTCGCATCGCATTGACCATTCGGTCGGAACTGCTCATGGCGGTCTAGTGCATGTTGGTACGATTGTTTCAGGTAGGGATGGGCATCTGCAGGCAGAAAGCAGCGAGATCCTGCGCATTCACATGGTGTGGCCCTAGTGTCTTCTTCTGCCACCATGCCATGATTATTATCGGCTTCGTTGAGCTCACGGGTACCGCTGGAGCCTGCCCGTACGCCTTCGCCCTCGTGGTCATCTTCTTTTCTCTGTGATAGACCTTCACGGGTCATGCGCTTGGTTGCACGCCTTGTACCGATGTTTGCAACAATTTGTTTTTCTGGTAGACCTTCGCGGGCCGTGTGTTGGGTCGCACACCTTGTATCGATGGTTGCATCAAATCGTCGTCGATGGGCCCTTAGATTGATCGAGCTGCTGTGGCACTCCGGAGACCTCGCTCGCTTCATCCTACTCAAGAGCTGCTCGTCCTTTTGCCTCCGGATGAGCATTCCGTATTTATCCTTTTGAATTGCAAAGTGCTCGACAAATCGCTGTGGGTCAACGGTCTCAAAAATGGATGGATCAACATCGAGCCACTTCTGCAAGAGCTGTAGGTCTACAGCGACCTCATGATCCCTGTCACGAAGCCTTTTCAAGTCGCGGCTAATAAGGGGCGAACGCGGGTCTTGGACGCCAGCCTTGAGGTGATGGTCTCCGATCTTTTGTCCTGAAGATGATTTCAAACACGACAGATGGCGCTCAAACATGACTCGATTGGCATGGCGAACAAAGTCTTCCCACCGATGATGTTCGGCGGCGATATGTGCTAGCATGCGGAGGAAATCCGTGCCGCCGTCTTTCCACCGGTAGTAGTCTACCCTTTGTGGGGACCATTGGGCACATAGACGATAGTAATTACGCATATCACTGTCGTAAAGGGTTCGCTGAGCATCCCTCGAGGGAGGGCTGAAGCTTACGACCCATTGGATTGCTTCTATGACGGCGGAGTGCAGAGCCTCCGCTTTTGCTATGAACCGATCTGCGATGCTCTGGCGTTGACGGAGCGTTGTGACACTTTCAATCTCATCGTGGAATTCTTGCAGAATATCACATATCTCCATCTTATCGTAGGATGGTTCTTTGTGGAATGGAAGCGAACGCGCTGCGATTCTTCAGGTGTTGTTACGACAGAAACGAGTATGCCGGTATTATCGACATTGAAAACAGGCAGGTCGTGCACGAACCATATGAAATTTATTTCATATGGTCCGTCCGCGCCTGGTTCGCAGTAGTGTAATAATAAGTCGGACATGGCTGCGCGGTAGTGTGATCAAATAGCCAACGCAGGAGCATTCTGTAACATTATTTTATGCAATGAAGAAGTGTTTCTGCGTCAGGTCGCCGGGAAGTGTTGTCAGTCCGGTAGAAAGATCACCTGGGCATATGCAAGCTGCCCTAATAAGCGGAGCCGACATATCCAAAAATTATGCCAAGTTCAAGCATAGCGACATACTCTCCAGAAGTGCGTCTACCGTGGCGTCGGACTGCGGCAGCACGTGAATAGACGACATCTCGTGCAGTGCTCGATACCGAGCCTGGAAAGTTATGCACATCGCTTGGAAATGTGCGCAAATGCTGGCTGCATGAGTAAGCGCGAAGGACAAGGAAACAGGCGCGAAGGACAGACGCGAAGGACATATGGCGTCCAAGCTTGACAAAATAATCAGCATACGTTGAATCGAGCATCGGGCCAGGCCTCGAGGCTCGCCACGCCGGGGCAAGATATCAGCCGTCATGCTTCGATTTCCTTGCAAAACTTCAGATCGGGACACGAATCGAATCAGTATTCGTCGACGCTACTATCTACTCGCCATCTTTCAAGAATGAATACGGCCATGCTGGGTTGGGACTCATTTGCTCATCCGGTCGCCCTCTTGTCTCTATTCACACTTTGCTGCATCTGGACATGGTGGAAGTCCGCCAACCGAGCTGTCAAGCAGCCCGCACCTGAAAAGCCACACAAGATCGCGGAGCACATCATCGCAGCTGCACCTCAGCTTGAATCTGCGAAGACTTATAGAAGTCTGTACTATAAGATACAGAATCTCGAGTTCTTTCCAGAATGCATTCTGCAAGCGCGGCAAGTCCTCGCAGGCCTTCTCGTTGAGGGTCTGCAGAAAGAACACTACCGATGTCGCAAGGAGAGCCTCCTAGACCTGGTAGATTATGACCCGATAAGGCTGAGCCACTTCATCAAAGCCAATCTCAACGATACCTTAGACCAGTGGGTCAGATACGTAGATCGAAGAAAGGCTGGACAGGGCCCGGAACTGTTTAGCACTCACGACCAAGCGAAAGCATGGCTTGTCAGCCAAGCACCATTGAACTACGTGGATGGGGCTTGGCTAAGTCATATTCATAAAACAGACACCCCGTTCCAATTGCGCAGTATAACTGTCCATGCTTGGCAAATCCTGTCTGAAGAACTTGGCGATGGCAACCTGGAAGAAAATCATGTTCAGCTCTTTATATCGTTACTCCGATCCGTGGGAGCCAACTTACCCGAAGGCGACACACTGGCCTTCGCCGAATCTACGGATGGCATGAACGATGAACTTGTGTGGAAGGCAGCCGTAACTCAATTGATTGTATCGCTCTTCCCACACGAGTTTCTCCCGGAGATTCTCGGCTTCAATCTGCACTTCGAGCAACTTTCAATGCAGACTCTGAAGGCAGCGAAAGAGCTTGAGGAGTTCGCGATCTCTGGAAAATACTACTCGTTGCATATATCCGTTGACAACATCGATTGTGGACATTCTGCCATGGCACTGGAGATCATCGATCGCTACATGAAACATATTGCACAGAGTGGAAGCGACGAGGCTCAATCATTCTGGAAACGGATTCAAGCAGGTTATCTACTATCTCAAAATCTCGACGACTGCACAACTGCAAAGCAACACGAAGAGCAACTAGCCAAGTCGCTCTCCGAGAAGATGCTTGTCTCGAGCAAGATTCATTGCGGAAGTCGAGTACGTGTTGGAAAGCTGAGTCTTCAAGACTGGATGAATACTCTGGGACGAATCAACGATGAGGGCTCTAGCCAGGAATTTCTCAGCATCCTAGCTGGCGCGAAGCCGTGGGTCAAGCGCGGTGACAGCAAGGGTAGTCTTATCATGCGCGAAATATCGCGGGGCGGAAAAATGTTTGGAGCCTTCACGGCGATGGAAGTCAGCCGTTTGCGCACGTGGATTGATGGTTTGAGCGATCAGGTTCTTTCAGACGAAGAGAAATACTGGCGAAAAATTGGACAGCAAGACCAGGAACACATAGTCATCGCCATACCATCATACGCGATGCTCGTCGGCCAAGATGAGATGAGCTGTCCGCAGCTGCCTAGATACGTCCTGCATGGCAAAGACTTCACCCCGCGCCCACCAATCGAAGGATCAGGCGTGGAAATGAGAGATCTAGTGTCGCTTTGGTTTGCACACTGCTTCTTGTTGGAGAGCCTCGTCACCTCGCCTTACAGAACTGCAAATGCCCTCAGCTCTTGTGTCCTGAGAATACTTCGAGCCGAACGGGGCTACAAGATCAGCGGAGACAGCATTGCAGGCATGGACGAGCTCGTGCAGGTCACTCGTAATCCATCTCTCGTCGACATTGGTTTGGAAATCATCCGCAGGCAACAGCTGCCATATCCGGATACTCTGCACGAGATCATCAAGCCTAACAACAGAGATGCATCAAAAGCTTCCGATCTATCGCAGGCAATGATATCTTGGGCGGCAAAGCCTCTGCAGAACAGAGTTTTCCTCCTTGGTATCGCGCGGGCCTTCGTTGATTTGGAGCTATGGGTCGGTGCCGGGGCGGACATCTTGCCGCCGCAAGCAGGCGCGGCTCTCAGGCAGATTGTTGCCTCGAAAATGGATGCTTTCAATGATTGTTGGCAGGAGCTTAGCACATTCGCGAGTGAAGCCAGCGAATTTGTGAGCGCATACCACTTCGGTCGCGCCAAGATCGCAGAGACGCTCTTTTCTGAACAAGATGAGAATGTGCAACATGTCCCGCACGACAGCGAAAAACATTGACCGCGCGTTGGTCCAATATCATAGAAGATTAGCAGACGAACGTCCCGTCACGTCCTAGGGCGGTGTATCGATCAAAGGTACCGTGCGTGCCCAGTGGCTCAAAAATTGCATCTACATGTTGAAAATCCTCGCCATCTCCAGGCGGAGGAGCTGCAATGAATTTCATACTTTTTTGTCTGAAGTAAAACATTTGCCTGAGGTAAAGGCAATCGCCGACTTCACATTTGTTGGACGTAAAAGTACACCGATATACTTTGTATATTTCATTGCTCGATCCGGCAGGTCGCTGCAGGCAAAGAGGACTGCAAGACTGTTCTTCCCAAAATGCCTGGGACTGTAGCAAGCGCTCAGTGCTCAGTACTCGCCGTCCTTCTTACGAGCACTATCTAGATGATCTCTCGTGATACCGCTTCTTTCGCAAAGTGCATAGAATTTGCCTCCCCTGTCGAAAAGCGTCCTGGGTTCATCAAACTCGGCCACACGACCCGAATCCATGACCAGAATGCGATCATACCTGAGTGACGATGTCAGCATGTACTATTCGAATAATAACGCGTGAGCAACCGCGACGTTACTTACCCAAGAATGGTATCCAGGCGGTGTGCGATACAAATTACCGTCTTTCCCGACAATGCCACCAGCATGTTGCGCTGGATGGCGCGATCGGTCCCAACATCTATGGAGCTGGTGGCCTCGTCAAACATGACGATATTGCTGTCCTTCAGGAGCACTCTGGCAAATGCTAGGAGCTGTCTCTGTCCGAGAGAAAAGTTCTTGCCCTCGTCCTCCACGGTGACGTCGAGATCCACAGATTTTTTATCGTCTGACTCGGCAGTAACTGCCCATCGTGCACGATGCAGCGCAGACCAGAGCTCGGAATCCGAGTAGCGGTCAAACGGATCCAGATTGCTCCTGATGGTTCCTTGGAAGAGCATAGGGTCTTGAGGGATCACCGCTAATCGTGATCTCAAAGTCTCGAGCGCAATCGAGCGGATGTTGACATTATCGATGGTAATGCTCCCTCCACTCAGCTCGGTCAGCCGTAATAGCACCGTTGCAATGGAAGTTTTTCCAGCGCCAGTGCGGCCGACAATGCCCACACGCTCGCCGGCTTTGATGTGAATTGAAAGATCCTTCAGCACGAGCGGCAGTTCGGGCCGGTATCGCATGGAAACATTTTCAAACCTGATCTCGCCCCGTTCAGGCCAGGAAGCATGAATGGTGTCGGATCCAGCAAAGTCCTCCTGCTCTAAGCTCTTGCTGTATTGGTGAAGCCTCTCCACTGAGTTCATGTCGTTCTCCACATTAGTCATCTGTCGAACGGTGATCGGCAGCAGTTGGACTATGCCAAGGACGTAAGAGAAGACAACACCCCCGATACTCGGGCTGACATCAAACCGGGAGGTCACTAAAAGAATGCCAACAACAAAAACCACAAGGATTCCGACCGCGTCCAAGCGGAGTGTGAGCCACCGCTGGAGTGCTGTGCCAATGAAGGCTACTCCATTCATGGAGTCCAATGCAGCCGAGACTCGGTATTGGAAGCGTAAGATTGCTCCATAAGCACGAATGGTGGCTGCTCCGGAGACACCTTCCCCAACTCGAGCAAATATGTCGCTACGGAGCACTGCGCCATGCCGCTGAATCTCGCGAGCAGAGGCTCGATAGTAAGCCGCCGCGTAGAGAAACAGCAAGAAAAGTAGCGCCAACGCCAGCGCGAACCAGTGGTAGTAGGCGATGATCAAGGCAAAAACCGAAAGGATGTTCGCGAAAAGCCAGCACAGCATCCTCAGGTTATTGGGAAGGGCGTTGTCCAAAGTATCGATATCCTTGGAGAAGCGGTTCATGATCTGACCCGTGGGCGTAGTGTCGAAAAACCGCACGGGTGCTCTCATGACGGTTGTTACAGCATTTGATAGCATTACGCGACTCGCTTCCGTGCCATAGTAAGAGAAAGCGATGGCAAAGCAGAACATGAGGCACGACTGCAGTGTCCCAATTCCGACGTAAATGCCGATGTAGGTTCCGGTTGTCAGCGAGAACCGGTCGGATGTCCACCATGACAACCAAAGACCGGTGACGATGCTAGCACTTTGAGAGCTAACAACAACAGCAAGGACGATGAGCACATTGAAAATAGAACCAGTTGCGCGTAAAAAGTCAAGGTAGACCTCCAATTGAAGGCCTCCGACTGCACGACCCTCTTCGCGTGCCTTGTTGGCGGGACCTGCCACTGTGCTTTGTGACACTGACTTCTCCGGATCTCCACCTGGAGGGTTTCCAGCCACGACCTCGGGCTTAGGCTGATCATCTTGCTGCTCGTCTTGATCCTTGAGCTCAGTAGCCATCAATTCCTGGAATCCAGTGTCGCTCGCGATCAACTCCTTCAGTGTGCCCATTTTGTGAATCTGGCCAGCCACCATCCAGATGATCTTGTCGGCCCGGGCCAATGTATGCAGCTGATGCGTCGCAAGGATACGACACTTATCCCGCAACAAGCCGCATATTGCTTCGTCCATGATCTTTCTCCCGACATGCGCGTCCACGGCCGAGAGCGGATCGTCCATCAAGACGATATTTCGCCGGGAGTACACCGCTCGAGCGATGTTTATCCGCTGCTTCTGTCCGCCAGAAAGGGTGATGCCCTTTTCGCCGACAACCGTGTCGTCTCCAGCGATCAAGGTGGCAAAGTCGTCGCGCAAGGCGCACGCATCAACAACGGCGTCATACCACGCACTGTCGAAGCGCTCGCCAAATAGGATATTTTCCTTCACGCTCGCATCTTGTATCCAGGCCGACTGAGGAGAGTAGGCAGGGTGGCTAGCTAGCGACACTGTCCCTTGAGTGTGGCGCATTTCACCGACCAGGCCGCTGAGAAGCGAACTCTTCCCGGCACCTACTGATCCCACAACAACAACAAGCTCTTTTCGTCCGACTGAAAAGTCGATGTGCTGAAGCTCAAAAGCTGTCTTTAGAGGCTCCTTTCCGTGTACGGATGCCGTGACTTTCTCATTGGGGATCGGGCTCTGAGACATCGCCTCGTCTTTCTTGTCCGTACGGGGTACAACACCCTTCTCCGTGGTCTGGATCGGTGATGTGCTGACATCGGCACCGGGGCGACCTGACTTCGAAGTCCCGTGGCTTGTTTGACCACTGTTGCCATCCCAAGCAAAATTGGCTTGTTCGACGACGACAGCCAGCGCGTCATCGTTCGGACGGCCTGGAAGAATGGGTTGATACTCCTCCGCCTCAAAGAACTCACTGATTCGCTTTAAGGATGCACTAGCATTGACGACATGGGTCAAAGCCACGGGCAAGTACTCCAACGGTGTGGTCAACGAATTTAGCAATGCCAGTGAGGAGAATATCCGTGCTGCATCAAGTGAATGTCCGGAGAGGTTGTATGTGACGAATGTCAATATGGCCGCAAACACCGGAGTGACCAAAGACGCTGCAAGGAGCATGTTCTGAATTGTGAGAATGTGGAAGATTTTCTTCACCTCCAGTGCCCGTGCTGTCGCGAGCTTGTCGAGAAAGCTGGTTTCCCAACCAAATAGCTTGATATGCCGCACGCTGGTGACAATCTCTTGCGTAATCCGGACTCGACGATCCGTCAGAGTGTTGATCTCTTGGCGATGCGACATGAGAGCTTTCACTGCGCGGCCGAGTAAAGGGCTCATGATCACAATGAATGCGAAACCTGCCAGCGCGCTGTATCCGATGTTTACAAGAAGCAGCGCCAGCGCGAGCAAAATCTGCACCGGTGCTGTCCAACACAGATGGATCATTGGCGCCCCTGTTTCGATTCGTGACACATCCGTTGAGATGAGATTTGTGATACGTCCGTCTGACCAACCTTCCTTGTCGCTGGTACCGGCTTTGGCCCTCGTAGAGAGATTCATCGCTCTGTTGAAGATGCACACGGTCACGGCCGACTTCGCTTCGGCACCCATCATCATCGTAGAGTAGAAATAGTGATTGGTACACATGGATTGTATGATTTGCATGCCCGTGAGACCAAGCACAAAGCCGATTCCTCTTCCAATCGGCGGGGCAGGGCTGCCGTTGATTTTCGCTACATAAGCGTCTTGGATGAACAGGAGTAGATAGCGTAGAACAAATGGCGAGAGAATTTGCAAGCAAGCCGCTGTAAGCTGGAGCAGTCCGGAGAGAATGAAATCTCTCTTAAAAACCTTGAAAAGGGTCACGGTTGCAGTATTCCACCTACCAGTGACCTTCTGGCGCGCAAGCATAGTCTCGAGCAATCGATCGGCGAAGCTCTCGACACCGCGATCAGGGTTCACCATCCAGATGTCGTTGAGTTGTAAAGGACGCTGGTAGCCGATTGAGAGCAGCGGCGACAGCCAATGGAACATCAGCTTCGAAAAAAGCCCGGCATTGTGTTCATTCGACGGCCCTCGCACGTCAGGCACGGGCGGAATCGTTGTCGTCTTGAGCGGATCAAGTCGAATTTTCCACCTATCCACATTGCTCTTGAGCCGATCCCCTCTCGTCGATCCGGAAGTGATTGTTGAGCCAGGGGAGACGTCGGACTTGGCAGGATCTGTCTGCAACTGCACTTCATGGATATTACCTTTTTCGAAGGCGCTCTTCATGCCGGCAGCGACTTCATGTGTGGCTGAAGTCGGACCATCCAGAATTTGCGTATCGAGGGATCCTTGGTTCGTCTGGACTGAGGATGGCGGAACAGCACCATCCTCGGCTACGCTGCGCTCCATCTCTGTTGAGATTGGATGCGCGAAATCCAAGGGAGATGAGAGGAGGCTCAGACAGGTAAGTTGCAATGCGTAGATTCACGGAAAGGCACGTAGACAAGGGATAGAAATGGTTACGCATCGGGAAGATATCGAAATTACTAGGTGCCTGGCAGGCTCATGTGGCACAGCTCTCACGACTCGCGGCCACGGCGGGCCATCGAAATCATAAAGCGCACCCTGCATTCCCACGACGTGAGTTCTGCAGGATAAGGATCGATGTGTGCAGGCCTGCAGCAAACGGCGCCAGCGGATCCTGCAGATCGGTCTACCCAGGATACATTTTCACAAGACTTGCTGGCAAAGATCTGTTGAAATTTCCTGCATGCCTGACGATAATGAAGGGCGGAGGCGCCGCCACGCGCGAGTGCGGACAGGACAGGACGGCACGACGGGCAGAATTCGCCGCGGAGGTGAGCGCTGATTTCGGACGGTTTGGCTTGTCACGCTTGACTACCTAGCTAGTTACATACAATACAGCACGGAGTAGCACGAAACCCCGAACGCCGCGCCGGCGCGTTGGCTCGCTCATCGGTCCCTGCATGGAAGAGCCACCTGCCTAGGCATCGCCAACAGCGGGCAATCGCGTATGCAATTGGTTCCCACGCCGGAGACGCTCTGGTCCGGGTTTACGTAGATGCATGTCAAGATGTACGTGTGTGTGCCAGAGGTGGCTGTCATTGGGGGGGTGTGCGGGTGCGGGTGGTGGCAGTGGGCGGCAGGAGTGGCGTGCAGATCGTGCCCATCATCGGTGTCGACTGTGTCGCCGCACGGGTTTCGGCCCAGCTCCTGAGCTCCGTGGTCCAAGCTCGGCTCAGCTTCTCCCTCCGTCTGGAAGCCCTTGCACTTCCCATTGGCGAGGTGGACTTTGAGATTGCTCTTGCGACTGAACCGTAGCGAGCAAAACGGGCATGCAACGCTCTTGGACGGATCTCGTTCTCGAATGTGGCGACGGTAGTTTTCAACGCATGAAAAGGCGCGACCGTTGCAGCCATGCTCGAAGCACTGTACTGCCCCGGGAGGTTGAAGCGGAGTAAAAGGCGCCGCGAGAGGCAGAGAGCTCACTAGGCTGCTCTGTTCCTGCGTTGAAGGTGTGCCTTGGTAGGTATTGCTGTCGGTTCGCATCGACGCGGGCATATTTTCTAGCCAATCACGGTCTGTGACAAAGCCGCTTAGGAAATCGTTCATTTCTTGCTCCGTTAGCGAATTGAGCATGTCGTTGGGCGCTTGCGCACTGAAAGGAGCCGCCATGTTGAGAGTGCAAAGGAACAAGATTGCTGAAGAGTTGACGTTCCCGTCGACCCATCTTCAAACGCCGAGCACGAACATATATTTGTACGAGTGTTGTCACCCGGTGAGGCTTACTTTCTTCATGCGGCGCTGCGGCGTAGTCACATCTTGGTGGTTATGGCAGGGTCCACTTCCGAATGATGGAGGGGCTGTCAACGAGTTAGAACGTCGAAGCGGCGTAAGCACATGTTGGTGAAGATCGATCGCTCACGACCCCGTGGCCCTGGTAATCAAGGCTCGCAATACCCAAAGCACGACGTCGGCTCGCTCTCATCTCCTTCAGCACCAACCTTAACGAGAAAAATGTTAGCAACACCGAACATGGGCGCGGCTGGCGACACGACAGTAATGGTGAGCTATCGATCCTTTGAGCATCGGCTAATGCAAGCCGCGGGCCTATGGCCCAATAAGCAGAAATCCATTTCTTTGCACAATGTGACAATCTCGGCGATGTTGACTGCTTGTGAGACGCGCAGTATGCGCCAATGCGCGAATCCCAGCCCAGTTGGCCTGGGAGCAGGTTGGCGTGCGAAGATCTTCAGCCATACAGCCCGCTTAGTATCTAGATGAGCACTATAATCCAACCGTCGCACTTGTTGGACCGCGTGTGGGTCAGCTCGCGCCATTTGTCGTCATCCCCCGGATCGAAGTATTCATGCTAGCCGCTCCACACGGAATGAGGAGACCCTTTCCATACGAAACGAGGAGACCCTTTTGTCCTGGGACAGTACTCAGATCTTCAGGTTGCCAAGACTAAAGTGGTAGACTCTTACAAACATTACTACATTGGATTTCGTGTATTGGAAGGGGATGTGGGTGTTTACGCGAAGAGTGCCCGATGCGTCAGCTGGGCACTCTCCCTGCTCGTTCTACCAGACTGTAATTTTCCACGCGCTTTGGTAACTCGACATTTGGTATCAATGACCGTACCCGAACATGTATCAACGTCGCGATCGGGACCGGTTTGTTGCTTTGCACTAGGAGGTCGAGCGATATTTGTAAGGTCTGCATGGTTGCCCTCGGACAGCGCTAATCTTGGTAGCTTGATAGCATGAACCTCTTCCGCGTGGCACCAAAAGCCTTGCGGCGATGTGATATTTTGCGTGCAGATGGGGTGTGGACACCGCATAGGCCACGAACAAACCTGATCAAGATGCCAATCGATGTGCATAGCGAATCTGTCCGTCGAGCGATATCCCGCGAATGGACGCCATCTCCAACACGGCTCTCGTGTCTCATCGCCGAGACAAAATGGGCACAGCCATGGCGAGAGCACAATCGATTCATGTACCAAGTTACCGCAAAACAGTGTGAGCTTTTGAAGGTGCTGGGCACAGTGGAAACGCCATTCCTCGCCATAGTCGAACCATGCAACACATGCATAGCAGAAACGGTGGCGGGGCCGGGACTTCGAAGTGCAGCTCAGGATATGAGCGTTGTACTCTGTCTTATGCCGCAGGAACTTCTGCGATTTGAGTCCGCAAAGGCAAGTCTTTGCGAGAGCCTCAGTGCCGGGGTAGACTAGCAAGCATGTTCGGCTAGCTGCCGCGAGCCATATTCCAACACACAGCCTGAATTCCGTCTTGGGCGTGGATGTGGCTCGATCGAAGAGCTTCTCAATGACTGCCAGCCGCTCTGGGTGATATCGGAGGTATGTTACGAGCTGAGGACACGTCGGTGGTCGAGGGATCGCCCGCAGGTTGAGCGCGTCTGTGGCGGGGTGAACCTCACCTCCAGGCGCTGTATGCTGTTCGAATCCAGTGTGTACATTTGAGGCCATGGAATGAATAGTAAGCAAGTCCTGAAGCGATTGAGCCCGGCCGAGCATAAGCGCTTGTCCATCAGCATTCGAACAAATGCCAAGGTAATGCTGAAAGCTGCTTTCGTTGGCATGGCCCATACGGCGTCGTCGAGCAGCAGCAGAGATAGAATCTGAAGAGCGTTAGCCAATGCATACTCGATTGCACATCTCGCACATACTGTCGATAGTTTGTCCATGAGCCCTTCTGATGCAGTATGGCAAGAATTTGTCTCCATATCCAGCACGTTGAGCGAGCTCCTTGAACTTGTTCTCTAGGGTAGCGCCTGACATGATGCGGTCTTCAGAGATGTTTGAGGTCGAGGACGTAGGATGTCCACGGAACACTGGTTTCTCGCGATGAGTCGAGCGGATCTTCAGCTCTTTGACTTTGATGTGGGCATTAGGCTCAAACTTTTTGAGGTCGTCCGGGTGTTCAATGCTCTCTAACGCTCCGTCCATGATTGCCAGAGCCATTAGCTGGGCCACCGGACATGATTCAGGTGTGTCGCCGTCCTCTAATAATGCAATTCCAAGGATCTTCTGCTCAATTCCGCGCGACCCTTTCTGGTTACGGTAAATGATGTCCACGGTCATACGCGGTCGCCCTTCCGAGAATACATATCTGAAAATGAGATCCTTGTAAAGAACGCCCTCGTTCGTGCCGGGATGACTGCTAGACTCCACGATCGCTCCAGGGCGGATGCCCTGAAACAAAAAGATGAGTAACAAGCAGGACAGTTGCAAACGCATCCTTGGATGCATTTCCTTGATGTCGAGAGCCCAAAGAAAGTGAACAAGGTCGAGGACGACATCTGCGGTAGCGACAGGCCGTGGACGTGCCTTCGTACTGGCGCCCTTTTCGACACATATTTCTCGAATGAACTTGTTCAGTCTCACTTTCATGTCACGTCCGAGGTAATCGTTGTGTCGTTCCCGAACGATGCTACCAATGCACGTGAGATACTTGTTCAAGGTGCTGGTAGAGATGCCGGCAGCGAGATAGCCTGTCTTCTTCTTTGTGCAGTACATAAGGAAGGCCGCGAGCTCGGGTTCTGTAGGAATAGTCGGGAAAGGATCGCTTTTATCGACAGGGCTGCTGCGATATTCGCAGAAAGCAATCCAGGTCTTGGTTACAGTTTTCAACGTTCTGTCGTGCGGTGTCGGCTTCGCTCGGGACGGTGTCGTCTCTTTGACCTCGCCACGTGCGAGCGCACGAATGTACTCTGCATCACTATCATCGCTGTCGAAGTTCATGATCGTTTGGGATCATGAAAAGGGTAAAGATGCGCGAGTAGTGGAACGGGTCACTTCGGTCGGAGGAATGAAGACAGAGGACAAGACCAAATGCCGTGTTGAGGAATAGAACGAAAGCAACAGCTTGGGACTTGAAGAGAAGGATGACGGCGGTCATGCGAGATACGGGGCGTGGAGGAGAAAGCGTGGCGTAAGGGGTGGTAGGACAGCAAGGGTACCTAAGTTTTCCACGGCAAGGCCTCAGTAGGTAAGTTGAATGCGTTATACCTCATGCTGTCGGGGCAGCACCGAGGATCCGAGACCCCGCCCCAGGAGCAGTACGCTCCATATTCAGGAGGCGTCTGGGGACCATTGGCAGAGGCTAAGTGTAGTCCGGAGCCTTTGGGCGGTCCTGTAGAGTTTACGCGCGGTCGCTGGTTAAACAGATGTCGAACAACTCCAAAAGCCTGCATCGCTCACTACGCATACATCGTCTCTCCTCATCCTAAAGTGCCTTACCTTGTCTCATGTCGTGACGCACATGACCTCGTCTCTCATCCTGTAATCACGCCGCATCCGCATCTTAGAAGCGAGTTCGGCGCTTCCGATGGCGGGCATATAGCGTCGTGTCGTCGCAAACAATCAGTACATATTGTGCAGAGCCATAGTCGGAAACGAGATCCAGTTGATGGAAAGTGAGAGAGTTGTACAGAGTGAGGTTGTTGGCGTGCCGAGATCTACGTCAGCCGAGCTGGATACTACTCAGCAATGGAAGTTGGGGTCAGAAGTCGAGTTCCTGATTCCCGATGGCTGAATCTGGGGCCGAGGAGGCTGTCGGGCGGACATGATGATACATCGGGACAGCGAGCGGCACGGGCATATCATATAGTGGGAAAATCAGCTTCAGCCAACCGAGAAGTTGATATAGCAAAAAGCGTTGGTGGTTTAGTGGTAAAATTAGCCGTTGCCAAGGTATTGCGAAATACTCAGCATCGGCTAGCCCCGGGTTCGATTCCCGGCCGACGCAAAACTTTTGCGGTGTTTACCCCCCATTTTATCTATGTTTGGTCACCTTGCCTTGGGTTCGATTCCCAGGCCATGCACTTTTTTCTCAGCCGTATAGGTGATCCGTCAAAGTCAAATGCTAGGTATAGATCTGTAATGGAGATTGGAAAAACGACATCCGGTGACGATGAGACCTTGTAGTCTTTAGGGGGTTAAGGGCCATTTTGGGAGACTATCTAATGTTTTGTCAAGATAGAACGCTCACCAGAAAGAAACGCAGACAGACTGTTGCATGGTCAAGACGTATTCTGTGAAAAGGTTGATTCAATAACTAACTACTGTGCACTTCGAAATAACATGTCGTGTCTGACTCCGCCGGTTACAGCAGCTACGACTGTCCAAGTCGCCTTGGACAGTCGTAGTTGCGGGCAAGTGCAGCCGGCGGTGACGAGGTCGACGACCCTTCTTCCTCCTTGGAGGGTACCGTAACAGGTCCCCCCCTCGGCGGGGCGAAGGGCGACGTCCTCGTCGTGAAGGGATTATGGTCGTAGTGACTCAAACAAACGCGAGGTGCACAACAAGGCACGAAACCACAATTCGTAGGTCGTCACAAAACAAACAGTCGTCAAAACAGGGAACTCATCACAGGACGCCATCCATCCTTCAGTTCGTCTTGTTGGTGTTCTTCGTAACGCGTGTGGAGCGGCGTGATGGCGCGGCTGTAGTGGCCTTGCCACGTCCTCTATGTCCACGTCCACGTCCACAGCCGGCGCCACGGTTCGGCTTGGGTGGTGGTGACGGTTGAGGTGCCGCTGGTGTCGGAGTCGGTGGTGTTGTCGGAGCGCGTGGTGGCGTCGACGGTGCGGCTGGTGTCGTGGTCGGTGGTGCCGGCGTCGACGTTGGGGCTGCTGGTGTGGTCTTCTCAGGCGTCCTCAACCATGTGTTCATGATGGCGTCTTTACCGGTCTTTGTCGCCGTCGTGGCCGGCGTCCTGCCTGCTGTCTTGGTGGCGGCGGCGGTCGTCGGGGCGGGTGTGGTGGACGTCCTGGTCGTCTTGGTCATAGCGGGCGTCTGTGACACGACTGGGGACGTTGTAGCTTGCGCTGGGTTCGTACGACGACGGTCACGGTCGTATTGGCGTCGGCAGAGAAGGATGAACTCGTTGCAGATGTCGTCGTCCAGGAGTGGGCGTCGTGTGTAACGCTCAAACAATGCTCGGTCGCCTTGATTCGTGATGAGACGTGGTGACGGGCTCGTCGGAGTCGTAATGTTCAAGAGCGGCAGGGCCATCTCCATTGGCTGATCGCGTTGCCATTGTCGACGGAACAACAGGATGGCTTCGTTTGTCAAGTCGTCATCAAACACTGGACGCATGGTGTAGACGTCGAACAAGGCCCTGTCGTCCTTGTTCAGGATGAGGCGCGGTTGTGAGGCCGGTCGAGGCGTCGGGGCGACTTCTTCTTCACGGGGTCGCTTGCGACCCATTTCTGCTGCTTTGATGGCTGCGTCGACCTTGGCCAGCCTGCTCTTTGTCAAGTCGACGAACGTAGTGGGTTTGTCGGCTGTGGTTGAAGTTTTGCCGTAGCTCAAGAAGGTGTCCTTGGGCGTCACTTTCTTTGCGCCTGGCGTCGTCGAGATGGGCGTGGCGTCGACCTTCTTCTTGCCCTTCTTGGCGGCTTTCGCCTGCTCTTCCATCATTGTCGAGACTAGTGCTTCCGTTGCGGGCGCCCAGTCGCGTCGACAATCCATGCGTCCCACGAAAAAGCGCGCGTTGGCTGTCAAGATGTCTG